ATGTATATATCAACCACCACGTTTATTTGCATTTTGCTCATATACGTTCTATTTCATGAACTTCAATCTTGACAAAAAAAAAAGGATTATTTGTGTGAAGCTCGATATAAATTGATATATTTAAGGAAAAAAATCTTTAAAACAAATAATAAAAATGATCTGAAATCAATTGATGAGGGTCTGAATGGGAGGTCCTTTATCTCTTCAGTCTTAAATTTTTTAGACCATTTTTTCTCTATAATTCTTTATATTTTTTGTCCATTATTCTCTATTCTTTATATTTTTGCACCCTATTATTCTCTATTCATTATTATGTGTGCCTTTTTTTCTTGATTCTTTATTTATTTTGACATTTGTTCTGCACTTTTTGCCCATTATTCTCTATCCTTTAAACCCCATCCAGACCCTCGATGGTAGTAACGTCGTCTGATTTGTTTTTTCTCGCCTTTTATCATCATTTATCTCAGCTGTTTCCAATTCTTTTTGTAGTATTAAAGTTTTAATTATAATTTTCAAACACTAAAATTGGTCAATGTCATTAAAGTGCAATAGCAAAAATTCTTAAATTGGAAAAAAAAACCGCCGTTTAATGGCAATGACTACCACGAAAAGTCGATTGGTGTTCTCTTGTCATTTGTTATTTGTGTAGATGTAGGTCTTGTAATGCTGACCATTTATGTTTAGGCAGTTCTGTATACTAGTATATGTTTTAATGTTTTCAAGATAGTTGACAGAATCGCTAAAATTTGGCAATAGCTCATACACAGAGAGTCATACCTGTATGTGTATTTTTGTATATCTTTAACTGATATTTTTTTTCTGTTAACAGTGAAAGTCCATTTAACATAGTTTTCCAAGATAAAATATGATCAAACTTTAAAATTAGACAGACATCAACACCTAGGTTAAACCATAGATGTATAAACCCATATATCTATGGGTTTATACATCTATGGTTAAACAAAGCCAATAATGAGTCTTTTGATGAGGGTGTGGATGGAGGTTTACAGAATAGAGAATAATGGGCAAAAAATATAGAGAATAGAGAAAAATGGACCAAAAAAAAAAAAAGAATAGAGAATAATTAGGTGCTAAAATATAAATGGGCAAAAAGTATAAGGAATAGAGAAAAATGGAGAAAAAATAATTAAAGAATACAGAAATGAAGGACCCCCATTCAGACCCTCTATCTTGGTATTTTCGTAGTTCTTGTATTGCTGGTCATTTATGCTATCTGTGTAGTTTTAGTCTATATCTATTATAGGTATCAAGATAAAAGTAAACACGCTTCATATGGTAAAACAATCCTTTTTAAAAGGCAATGACATCTACTGGAAGTCAAGTACAGATGGTTTCAGACATTTGCGAATTTTTGTAGAGCTTGTATTACTGGTTATGTATTGATATTTACAGGTTCTGGCTAAATTTTATACTTGCATTCTATCCCTATTTGCTATATATATATGTGTGTTTAGTAATTGCGGCCATGAACTCTAGCAATAAAAGTTCAAACTAGACACGACGAGGATGAGTGTGACCAAGTTTGGTTTTAACTTACCAAGTGGTTTCAGACGACAATAAATAAAAAAAACTTCATGAAAAAAGCACACAATTTATCTAATAACGGCCTATTGCAATTTTGAAGTCAATCTTAAACACTATATTTCGCTAAAATGAGGACACATGAAGACATATCTGAAATTTTTTGACAAAAATAAACCATTATATTATTATATTAATAGCATACAGAGTGCCATGCCTGGTCTTCATATCCCCGCTGTTTTTGTTCATTAACGAGATACTCAAGTAATGTTTTTCTCACGCAGAAATGCACCCTAGCCTGGGGTCCTGGCTCACTGATTGCTAACGCTTACAGTATCGACGAAGTATAAAGATTGGCCCAGGATGCCAGGCTAAAATGCACCCAAAACATGCAGACATAGTTTTCTATTTTTTTCAATAATAAAACCAGTATTATAAAATTGGTCAACCGGTGTTTTTTAAAAAAAAAATTGAAAGTGCAGGTTTACAATATATAACATTAAAATAAGTATGGAAGTTTCACATAATCCAGATAAACAATAATATTTATGCTTTTCATAGTTTTAATATCATAATTAGAATAAACTAAATTATATGGCTTGATGTAAAACAACACTTGCAGTTAGTGTTGATAGTATATGCAAAGCGAGGTAATTAGAAATGTGTTAAAATACCAAATTTATGACCAGTTATCTACCTTTTATTTTTAGATTTCTAAAATGTCTTCTGTTGTCTAACAATGGTCCTGAATATGTTATTCTGACGTGTTGAATATTATCCATTAAACATCAAGCTACAATTATGATACAAGTACTATAGGTTTGTTGTGAATTCAACATGTAGATACATTAATACACAAATGAGTAACATTGCTGCTGTGTGTTTGTGTACTTCACATTGGCTAGATTGCTGCGTGTTTGTTTACTCCACATTGGCTAGAGATATAGGGGGAGGGTTGAGATCTCACAAAACATGTTTAATCCCGCCACATTTTTGCGCCTGTCCAAAGTCAGGAACTTCTGGCCTTTAGTTTTTTTTTTAGATTTTGGTTCATCTATATGTTTCGGAGTTTAGTGTGACGTACATTTTCGCTGAACTAGTATACAATATTGTTTAGGGGCCAGCTGAGGCCCTCCTCCGGGTGCGGGATTTTCTCGCTATGTTGAAGACCCATTGGTGGCCTTGCGCTGTTTTCTGCTCTTTGGTCGGGTTGTTACCTCTTTGACACATTCCCCGTTTCCATTCTCGATTTTAACATTTAATCTGCTTACAGATGAGCAACCAAACTCTCAAAATTACAACAAAATACATTTGTTGCTTTACCATGTATGTAACTTAGTAAAAATTTTATGTTTTCAATAAATGTTTGAAATTTACAATTTACAATTACTCTCAATTATATATATATGAAAGAAGCCAGCAAAGACATTTGTTTCCCTATTTACCAAAGATTTGACATTTTTATGCCCCACCTAGGGGCATTATGTTTTTCGGTCAGTGCGTCCGTTCATCTGTTCGTCCGTTCGTCCGTTCGTCCGTCTGTCCGTCTGTCCCGCTTTAGGTTAAAGTTTTTGGTCAAGGTAGTTTTTGATGAAGTTGAAGTCCAATCAACTTGAAACTTAGTACAAATGTTCCCTATGATATGATCTCTTTCAAATTGTAATGCCTAATTATAGTTTTGATCCCAATTTCACGGTCCACTGAACATAGAAAATGATAGTGCGAGTGGGGCATCCGTGTACTATGGACATATTCTTGTTTAACTACAAAAAAGAAAAGAAAAAAAAAATCCGCTTAACTTGAGAATATCTGCACTTTAACTAGGTGTAAAAATTCACAAATTATATACTCTTCTGATTAGAAATTAATAATCACACCCATCCCTCTTTTCTATTGTACTTTGTTATTTATTAGTATGATAAAGTTTGAATGGGAAATTCATTTGTACAAGTTACAAAGTGTTTACAGTGGTTGTTAAAGAATTAAAAAAGCTTATGAAAATAGAAAATGTGGTATGATTGCAAACGAGACAACTATTCACATGAGACAAAATGACGTAGATAAAGTTCGTATGCCTTTGTCTTACTTCTTCCTCTTTGTTTATCCTTCCTGTCAGGAACACCACGAAAAAGGCAGCGTTTTCAATTGAAGTATTAAGTTATCGGTTTATACAGCAGAAAATTAAAATCTAAAACGTTGACGTTCCAACCTCCATGTACAAGACAGACTGCGATCGAACTATATACATGTACTTGATATAACAAACATCGACTTAGTTGAACCAGATGCCGATGGGTGTGCAAAGCGAGATAACTCAAACAATTTTACTAACGATTCGTAAACACGTCATATTGGATGCAGCATTTTGGAATGAATAGATGTTAAAATCATTTTGCTAAAAGGAAAATTATAGAAAGCTGAACCAGACCCAAGGACCTGCATGTATCGGTATCATACACATTGTATCGGCTGCCATTAATCTAAATAAAACAAGATGTGATTTCATTTCAATAATGTGCTGTCTTAAAAAAAATCATCAAGAAAATGTAATGCTATTGGAGTATAATTTAACATAAAACATATACATTATTGTAAAGTTCTTCTGTTTTATTATTTTATATATTTATATAAATAATTTTATGGACCAACTTTTATTTTTTCTTCAACAACAAAGAAGAAGTGGAGCATATGTCGATGAGACAGCAATCAAACAACTCTAAAAATGTCAATGATATATAGCACAAGGTCAAACCTTAAATCATAATAGTATTTGTAAGATTTCGTTATAGTCCTTTATCGGTTGATATAACCCCTTAAATGAGGGTGTGGATGGGGGTTTACAGAATTGAAAATAATGGGCGAAAAATATAAAGAATGGAGGAAATCGACCAAAAAATAAAGGATAGAGAATAATGAGGTGCTAGAATATAAAGAATGGAGAATAATGGACAAAAAGTATAAAGAATAGAGTAAAATGGCCTTAAAAAATAAAAGAATACAAAAATGAAGGACCCCCCTATCTAGACCCTCGTAAATGTGTTCTTCAATGCACATATTTAGCGATATTGACATCTAGCAAAGAGTCCAGCGCAAACCGATAAGTGCCGACCTGAACTTTTCGCTGCAAACTAAAGGCTTCGATTTGACTTCCAGATAAAAAAGAGCAATAAAATCCAGTATCTTTGCCTTTGGTTTTGTTAAGTGCGCGTAGTAATTATTTTTATCCTGAATCAATGTACCATATCACTCCTTTTCCATTTCATTAAAGTCGACCTAAGACTAGGCAAGCATCATCAACAAAATAATCGTCAGCATTACAAAAATTATCTTTCATTTCTTTCTTTTTTTTTCGTTATTCGTAGTTCGTATTATATTTGATGAAATGTTTTTGTTGTCTTTATGCTAATATTGTTATATTTTCAAATTGTATTATGGACAATTATACTTCATAAGACCAGGCTGAAGCTAGCGAACAATAACTAGCGAACAATAAGCCAGCGAACAATAAGGCGATATATCTAAAAACCGAAAAAATGAATAAGACAGCAACGGCCGTCAAATGAAAAATATTTAAAAAGGCAGACATTCCGTCCAAATATTGCAATTTCAACTCTATCGTGAAATGGTATTTATCCCATCCATTGATAAAACAAGTCACATCTCTTTTTAGGCTAATATTCAGTACCACAGTAAATCTGCATCTGTCAAGGGATTATGTGTAGGTGTAAGACCACTAATGCATCCACTTCAATTTAGAACGTATGTAAAAGTAGTCCTTCCCTGTAAAATATAGCACCTTTGATGTCATTGTTTAATTGAACTAAAATACACATTTGCAGAAATGAGGGTTGGACTATTCCATGGCTTCTAGAGAAAAATAATGAGGGGTGTCACGGGGTATGACTATATAGGTCTTGTAGAAGAGAAACAGGCGCATCTTTTGCGCAAGGTATCGAAGAGCGCTATGTTCAAAAATCTGAAACTAGAGCTCTAAATTAAAAAAAAAAATGTTAAAAACAGGGGGGTTGGCCTATTCCATGGCTTCTAGAGAAAAATAATGAGGGGTGTCACGGGGTATGACTATATAGGTCTTGTAGAGGAGAAACAGGCGCATCTTTTGCGCAAGGTATCCAAGGGCGCTATGTTCAAAAATCTGAAACTAGAGCTCAAAATTAAAAAAAAAAAATGTTAAAAACAGGGGGGTTGGCCTATTCCATGGCTTCTAGAGAAAAATAATGAGGGGTGTCACGGGGTATGACTATATAGGTCTTGAAGAGGAGAAACAGGCGCATCTTTTGCGCAAGGTATTGAAGGGCGCTATGTTCAAAAATCTGACACTAGAGCTCAAAATTAAAAAAAAAATGTTAAAAACAGGGAGGTTGGCCTATTCCATGGCTTCTAGAGAAAAATAATGAGGGGTGTCACGGGGTATGACTATATAAGTCTTGTAGAGGAGAAACAGGCGCATCTTTTGCGCAAGGTATCGAAGGGCGCTATATTCAAAAATCTGAAACTAGAGCTCAAAATTAAAACAAAAAAATGTTAAAAACAGGGAGGTTGGCCTATTCCATGGCTTCTAGAGAAAAATAATGAGGGGTGTCACGGGGTATGACTATATAGGTCTTGTAGAGGAGAAACAGGCGCATCTTTTGCGCAAGGTATCGAAGGGCGCTATGTTCAAAAATCTGACACTAGAGCTCAAAATTAAAAAAAAAATGTTAAAAACAGGGAGGTTGGCCTATTCCATGGCTTCTAGAGAAAAATAATGAGGGGTATCACGGGGTATGACTATATAAGTCTTGTAGAGGAGAAACAGGCGCATCTTTTGTGCAAGGTATCGAAGGGCGCTATGTTCAAAAATCTGAAACTAGAGCTCAAAATTAAAAAAAAAATGTTAAAAACAGGGGGGTTGGCCTATTCCATGGCTTCTAGAGAAAAATAATGAGGGGTGTCACGGGGTATGACTATATAGGTCTTGTCGAGGAGAAACAGGCGCATCTTTTGTGCAAGGTATCGAAGGGCGCTATGTTCAAAAATCTGAAACTAGAGCTCTAAATTTAAAAAAAAAAAATGTTAAAAACAGGGGGGTTGGCCTATTCCATGGCTTCTAGAGAAAAATAATGAGGGGTGTCATGGGGTATGACTATATAGGTCTTGTAGAGGAGAAACAGGCGCATCTTTTGTGCAGGTATCGAAGGGCGCTATGTTCAAAAATCTGAAACTAGACCTCAAAATTAAAAAAAAAAATGTTAAAAACAGGGGGGTTGGCCTATTCCATGGCTTCTAGAGAAAAATAATGAGGGGTGTCACGGGGTATGACTATATAGGTCTTGTAGAGGAGAAACAGGCGCATCTTTTGCGCAAGGTATCGAAGGGCGCTATGTTCAAAAATTTGAAACTAGAGCTCAAAATTAAAAAAAAATATGTTAAAAACAGGGGGTTGGCCTATTCCATGGCTTCTAGAGAAAAAAAATGAGGGGTGTCACGGGGTATGACTATATAGGTCTTGAAGAGGAGAAACAGGCGCATCTTTTGCGCAAGGTATCGAAGGGCGCTATATTCAAAAATCTGACACTAGAGCTCAAAATTAAAAAAAAAAATGTTAAAAACAGGGAGGTTGGCCTATTCCATGGCTTCTAGAGAAAAATAATGAGGGTTATCACGGGGTATGACTATATAAGTCTTGTAGAGGAGAAACAGGCGCATCTTTTGTGCAAGGTATCGAAGGGCGCTATGTTCAAAAATCTGAAACTAGAGCTCAAAATTAAAAAAAAAATGTTAAAAACAGGGGGGTTGGCCTATTCCATGGCTTCTAGAGAAAAATAATGAGGGGTGTCACGGGGTATGACTATATAGGTCTTGTCGAGGAGAAACAGGCGCATCTTTTGTGCAAGGTATCGAAGGGCGTTATGTTCAAAAATCTGAAACTAGAGCTCAAAATTTAAAAAAAAAATGTTAAAAACAGGAGGGTTGGTCTATTCCATGGCTTCTAGAGAAAAATAATGAGGGGTGTCACGGCATATGACTATATAGGTCTTGTAGAGGAGAAACAGGCGCATCTTTTGCGCAAGGTATCGAAGGGCGCTATGTTCAAAAATCTGAAAATAGAGCTCAAAATTAAAAAAAAAAATGTTAAAAACAGGGGGGGTTGGCCTATTCCATGGCTTCTAGAGAAAAATAATGAGGGGTGTCACGGGGTATGACTATATAGGTCTTGTAGAGGAGAAACAGGCGCATCTTTTGCGCAAGGTATCGAAGGGCGCTATGTTCAAAAATTTGAAACTAGAGCTCAAAATTGAAAAAAAACAAGAAATGATTGTAACAGGATGCTGTTACGAAGTCTCCCAAACGAAGCTCCCATAATTCGTAATTCCCAGGGTCGCCTGATGTTGGGCAACGTCCAGTGAAAATTGGTTCGGTCCAGTAAAGTTATATGCATTAGTAATGCCTGGGGACTAACCTTGTATATCATTCAAATCATCTTGGCATGACAAACCAGAATATATATGGTTTAGGGGTGGGGATCTCGACTATTTACAAGATACTAGAACATTGGGGGTGGGGGGAACCCCTGGGGACTGACCGTATACCTCATTCAAATGTTCCAGACATGACAAATAGGAATATATATGGTTTAGGGGTGGGGATCTCAACCATTTACAAGATATTAGAACTTTCTCAAATGGCAGGGGGTTGGGATGACCCCTGGGGACTAACCCTGTATATCATTCAAACCATCTTTGCATGACAAACCAGAATATATATGGTTTAGGGGTGGGGATCTCAACCATTTACAAGATATTAGAACTTTCTTAAATGGGTGGGGGCGACCCCTGGGGACTAACCCTGTATTTCATTTGATGTGCTTTATCATGACAAACCAGAATATAAATGGTTTAGGGGTGGGGATCTCAACCATTTACAAAGATATTGGAACTTTCTCAAATGGCAGGAGGTCGGGATGACCCCTGGGGACTAACCCTGTATATCATTCAAACCATCTTAGCATGACAAACCAGAATATATATGGTTTAGGGGTGGGGATCTCAACCATTTACAAGATATTAGAACTTTCTTAAATGGCAAGGGGTGGGGGTGACCCCTGGGAACTAACCCTGTATTTCATTTGATGTGCTTTATCATGACAAACCAGAATATAAATGGTTTAGGGGTGGGGATCTCGACCATTTACAAGATATTAGAACTTTCTCAAATGGCAGGGGGTTGGGATGACCCCTGGGGACTAACCCTGTATATCATTCAAACCATCTTAGCATGACAAACCAGAATATATATGGTTTAGGGGTGGGGATCTTGACCACTTACAAGGTATTAGAACTTTCTTAAATGGCAGGGGGTGGGGCTGACCCCTGGGGACTAACCCTGTATTTCATTTAATGGGCTTTATCATTTAGAACATTTTCAATTTAAAAGATTGTGTCTATCACAAACGGTTTTCAATTAATAATCATTTGAAAATTTTAAAAAATAAAATCCCATAGGGTTCTATAGTAAAACCCTCTTTTCTTTTTGCCCCTCAAAGTACCCCTTTATAAACCCCATTGCACAAACAAAACCCTGATTGCACCACTAGACATGCTAGTCTAACATATTGTGAAACCCTAAGTTAATCTGACAAGCGGTTTTGGAGAACGGGTGCGGACAAGTTCAAATTTAAAAGTGGCGGAAGAAGAAGAAGAAGAAGAAGAAGAAGAAGAATAATAATAATAATAAGAACTGAGCAAAAACAATAAGTCTTCCCAAACTTCGTTTGGGAGACTTAAAAATGTTAAAAACAGGGGGGTTGGCCTAGTCCATGGCTTCTAGAGAAAAATAATGAGGGGTGTCACGGGGTATGACTATATAGGTCTTGATGAGGAGAAACAGGCGCATCTTTTGCGCAAGGTATCGAAGGGCGCTATGTTCAAAAATCTGAAACTAGAGCTCAAAATTAAAACAAAAAAATGTTAAAAACAGGGAGGTTGGCCTATTCCATGGCTTCTAGAGAAAAATAATGAAGGGTGTCACGGGGTATGATTATATAGGACTTGTAGAGGAGAAACAGGCGCATCTTTTGCGCAAGGTATCGAATGGCGCTATGTTCAAAAATCTGAAACTAGAGCTCAAAATCTTAAAAAAAATGTTAAAAACAGGGGGTTGGCCTATCCCATGGCTTCTAGAGAAAAATAATGAGGGGTGTCACGGGGTATGACTATATAGGTCTTGAAGAGGAGAAACAGGCGCATCTTTTGCGCAAGGTATCGAAGGGCGCTATGTTCAAAAATCTGACACTAGAGCTCAAAATTAAAAAAAAAAATGTCAAAAACAGGGAGGTTGGCCTATTCCATGGCTTCTAGAGAAAAATAATGAGGGGTGTCACGGGGTATGACTATATAAGTCTTGTAGAGGAGAAACAGGCGCATCTTTTGCGCAAGGTATCGAAGGGCGCTATGTTCAAAAATCTGAAACTAGAGCTCAAAATTAAAACAAAAAATTGTTAAAAACAGGGGGGTTGGCCTATTCCATGGCTTCTAGAGAAAAATAATGAGGGGTGTCACGGGGTATGACTATATAGGTCTTGTTGAGGAGAAACAGGCGCATCTTTTGTGCAAGGTATCGAAGGGCGCTATGTTCAAAAATCTGAAACTAGAGCCAAAATTTAAAAAAAAAATGTTAAAAACAAGGGGGTTGGTCTATTCCATGGCTTCTAGAGAAAAATAATGAGGGGTGTCACGGGATATGACTATATAGGTCTTGTAGAGGAGAAACAGGCGCATCTTTTGCGCAAGGTATCGAAGGGCGCTATGTTCAAAAATCTGAAACTAGAGCTCAAAATTTAAAAAAAAATGTTAAAAACAGGGGGGTTGGCCTATTCCATGGCTTCTAGAGAAAAATAATGAGGGGTGTCATGGGGTATGACTATATAGGTCTTGTAGAGGAGACACAGGCGCATCTTTTGTGCAAGGTATCGAATGGCGCTATGTTCAAAAATCTGAAACTAGAGCTCAAAATTTGAAAAAAAAGTGGTTAAAAACAGGGGAGTTGGTCTATTTCATGGCTTCTAGAGAAAAATAATGAGGGGTGTCACGGGGTATGACTATATAGGTCTTGTAGAGGAGAAACAGGCGCATCTTTTGCGCAAGGTATCGAAGGGCGCTATGTTAAAAAATCTGAAACTAGAGCTCAAAATTTGAAAAAAAATGGAAAAAAACAGAGGGGGTTGGCCTATTGGTGTAATACCTCCATTGATTTTCATTTATTATTTTTTTTTAAATTTGCAGTTTTCCAAAAAAATGTGGAGAATTTATCTTTGTTTCAAATTAAAAAATTAACATAACATTTCATTGCATATAAGAAAATAACTTTCACTGTCAGTTAACCAATCAAATTTGCCCCTTATTTAACCTGTGTATAAGCTTTAGTAACCATGCAACCTCAAGTTTCCAAAATATTCTATAGAAACCCCAAATAAAACAATAATGATTCTTTGAAATACCCAAGATACATGTATATGTTTATGACCCAGAAATGTTTGACTGCAATAAAATGATGGATTAATTACCTACAACTGTCAAATTTAAGGGAATATTTTTTTCGACCTATTTTTGTATGCAACCGGATGTGACATGCCATGATTTGGTGGTATTACACCTGAAGAAGACATTTTTATTTAATAAACTGAAAGATTTTTTCCTTTGTAATACTGTTTTTTTCAAGCATTCCTGTCATGTTTTGTCATAATCAGTTCAATAGTTGGAGAAAAATCTAGTATAATGTACGACGACATCTTCAGCGATTCGTGCAGAATTTTTTTCGAAAAATCCAAACCAAGCCGCATCATGATAGAATGTAGTGTGGACCAATAATGATTAAATATTTATGTCATCTGCCTACAAACAGTTGAATATGATACAAAAGATGACTTAAGGATGATAAATACCACTACTGGACCCCTTTGTCTTCTTTATAAGGTCTCTTTTGGTCCATTTATACATGTCATTTCCTCAAAATTTCAACTTTTCAGGCCAATAAATAAAAATAATGAAGTAACTTTCACTCATTTATGATAGAAATGTTATAATAAATTACATTTAGTAATTGAAGTATTCAAGCAGAATGAACAATCCATATAAAAGTTTACTGGAGGTTTTAATAAGTCCTTACGTAAAACTTAAATTTACGCTGCGTTCCAGAGAGGGACATAACAAGCTTCTCTATAAGTGAATAATTTGTTGGTACTGCTTTACAAAATAATCACATTTACTTATAACTATATATTTATTAAAATATTTCTGAGAGAAAACTTTCTATTATAGCAGAATATAAGAAAAAAGGATAAAAAGCTCCCCAAAACACCGTGAAGTATGGCTTGTTCTGTTAGCTAATATTCATGGTAGAGTCAAATTTCAAGGAAATGTTCTCATAAAATATGTTTTGGAGACTCAATCCACTCAGAATATTTCATTGTTTGTAATATTTCACTTGAATAGCAAGAAGTTTTAACACACGAGAGTACTCACAAGGTCAAAGGTGCATGTACAGCACCCCATATTAGGTGTAATACCACCATTGATTTTCCCCTATTAGTCTTTTTAGAATTTGCACTTTTCAAAAAATTGTGCAGAATTTATCTTTGTTTCAAATTAAAAAAATACTTGGCATGAGTAAAGTTTTATCCTGTCCAGTACTATAGAAAAGAATTCACATAAAATTTCATTGCATATAAGAAAATAACCATAACTGTCAGTTAACCAATCAAATTTCCCCCCTTATATAACCTGTATACAAGCTTTAGTTACCATGCAACCTCAAGTTTCCAAAATATTCTATACAAACCCAAATTTAAAAAAAATGATGCTTTGAAATACCCAAGATACATGTATATGTTTATGACCCAGAAATGTTTTACTGCAATAAAATGATGAATTAATTACCTATAACTGTCAAATTCAAGGGAATATTTTTTTTCGACCTATTTTCGTATGCAACCGGATGTGACGTACCAAGCATTGGTGGTATTACACCTATTCAATGGCTTCTAGAGAAAAAAATAATGTGGAGTTTCACGGGGTATAGCTATATAGGTCTTGTAGAGGAGAAACAGGCGCATGGTTTGCGCAAGGTTTCGAGTTGCGCTTTGTCCAAAAACTGAAACTAGGGCTCGGAATTTCAAAAAAATTTGGGAAAAACAACAGGAATTTGCCTATTCCATAGCCTCTGGAAAAAATAATGAGGGATGTCGCGGGGTAAGACTATAAAGGTCTTGTAGAGGGAACACAGGCGCATAGTTTGCGCAAAGCTTCAAGAGGTGCTATGTCGAAAGGAACTAAAATTTAGTGAGGAACAAAGCCAACTCAAATGTCAGACAAGAACGTGAAAACCGTGAAAAAGACATATCAGAGTCAGGAAAGAAGAATTTCTTGTCATATGAAGTCGAAATGAAAATCCAAATCCCCCCATCCGAATTACATGATGAAAGAGATTGTAAAATGTGTTATGTAAGTACTGATAAAGACAAGGCTGAACACTGGCTGAATTTTTTTCAAGGGAATTTCGAAAAAGAAAACGACGAAGATGAAGGAACTTTAGTGCGAAGGCCAGCTGGTATACAACCTAAAGTTCTATATACTATGACAGACTTAATAGACAGTCTACTTTGTATTATTTTCAAAAGTCTATTTATATCAGAGGTTTTGTACCAGAATAAAACAAAATCGGCAAACAGTACTGAGTTGTTAAAGATATGATAGTAAAACTACATACAGACCAGTTAACTTTATCATTGACAGTCCAAGCGCCACATTCTTAAATACGGTATAAGTACCCTCGTCCACGTGCGTGCATTGTCTGATATAAATAAATGTTTACTAGCTATATAGGCAAAAAAAGAAACGTTACCCTGGTTTTTAATTAAAAGAAATTTCATGTATTAATTTATAATATTTTCCAGATTAAAACTAGTGACCTGAATGATTTATCTATCATTTACTAATTTGTTAAAAATTCGAAGACGACGTTACGTCATTTTCTGATTTTAAACAAATAAGCATTTTTTCAAACATTTACCTGTATAGAGATGGAATTGAGTTGTCCTTTTGTTCATTAGATGTGTCGAGCACTATTGTTAACAAAAGGTCGCATTAAAAAATTGAAAAAGTTACACGTAAGTCAATGCCACGTCTACGTCATAATAGAGGTTTCTCGATTTGCTACAGTACCAACCGTAGTACGAACTGGGAGCCGTCATTGAACTTTTGAAAATAATTCATATATGCCCTTAATGTCAACGTATGTTTTATGAATCATTACCAAAAGTATTTGGAGGATTTTTAGCTACATCTTGGTATAAATTTCATGTGGATATGTTCCCTATTCATAACAAACGATATTGTGTGTACTCGATTATGCTTTCAACCAACCGTTGATTGTAAACGTTGCACAAACGGTTTATAATTAAGATTTATTTCCCCTGAAATTGCACAGGCTAAACAAAGCTAAATATAAAGCATATTCATATTTTATCTAATGTTCGCCTGTTATATTGATATAATAGTATATAATGAATACGTTAGCATTTTTTGGGGTAGGCTTTTAGAAAGCATGATAGAATAAGACCTATTTTAACATACAAAATTGACCTCATTGAAAATGTACTAATGATGAAGATAAATACAAAACCTGTTCAAAAAGTTTTACTTCCTTCTTCAAAAAAACCTCGTGTGCAAGTCAACGTAAAATTTATAAATGTTAACCCAACTGAGCAAGTCTTTAGGTATATACAATAACTTTTATTATACTTCATGTCAAAATGCCAGATTTTGATTGTTTAATACGATGGAGACAATTTACTCTATCCCATGGCAAATGCTCTATTACCCTTCACGGAGACGCTTGCTCAAATGTGCGATTTAATAAATACGGAAGATTGTTATGTACAAGACATAATTCATTACTTTGGATTTGAAATTTAGGCTGTGTTTGTATATACGCCAGAGGTGGCCTATGGTTATCCATAGGTACCTTTGGTTTGATATTCTATATATCAAAATATCAAACCATTGGTACCCAAAGATACCTATGGGTAACCATAGGCTGCCTTAGGCGTATATCCAAACACAGCCTTAATAGACAGTAATAACACTGTGTCTAAACTACCCCGGCAAAAAATGTTTGGACTCGATGGTATCTAATATCCGGCACGGTGACGGAACATCAATAGACAGAGAAAAGGTAGTTTTCTGTTTATTTATTTGTTATTGTTATGATATCGAAGAATATTTATACATATATAACTGTTTTCTATTGTGAGATGTAATATTTTCTACAACCGTTCTAGATTAACAGAGAAATAAGTAAAAATGCACGTCAAAATGACGAATTGAGTGAACCTTGCCTCGACTTTGTTTAATTTCTCCTTGAATTGTTCACATGGTACGGAAAGAAAGGTACAGAAAGAAAGATATTGACATGAAGATTGCAAAACTAGTCACTTTGAGCACCTCAATATTTGTATTTCTGCGTATAGAACGAAAGAAATGGGTCATGTCAAAATGGAAGCACCCGGTTTTGTCATTGTGTACAACCCGGTTTTGTCCTAGATTTCACAAGGCAGAACCCGGTTTTGTCAAAGAAAAAAAATGCATAATCGCATAACATAATTGAATTTCAGCAATTAAAAGGAGTTTGGTGGCTGGTTGGAAAACGATTTCTTACAGAGGACAACCTGTTATTTCTTTGAATCTATAATTTTGCTTTGCATTAAAAAAAATACTCTAACTGCGAAATAGATAGAAATGAAGGTTAAACCGCAAATTGAGTTTTAAGCTCTCTATACGTTTTTTTTTTATATGAATTATGTAAATTTTAGTGTTTAAACTTAAAATTCGAGTTTATGGTCTTAAAAATTGAAGGACGCACATTTGATATGTGATTTTCTTGCACAACAGGATGGTTATCTTTATAAGTAATCCAATCTACCTAGGGGTGTACTATTTCCTAAGACCGTTTAAACTAAATCTTCTTAAGGCTAAATGTTCATTGTAAGGCATGATAATCAAACAAATGTGTATATGCTTGCAGAATCGAAAACAGAAAATGAATGTTTATGGTGAGAAAAGGATTACAATAATCATGCATTAAAAATCAAATCTATGATCTATCCTTAATTGTAACTATAATACTTAGTATAAATTAGTATTCTAATAGTCTCAGGCCATCGAGAAAATGCAATAATGATTAGTTTATTAATAGTTGTATAAATAAACGGTTCTGTTATCTCTCCATTGTGTTATGATTATCGTACATTGACGTTGGTCAATATATTATTGACAATATATAGGGACGGATTCAGCTTTTTTCAAAGTGGGCGTAATTCAAACCGCTTTCATACCGCAGAGCGTAGCGAAGCGAACAATGTTTTGGACGAATTATGCTAAAAAAAATCGTAAAATTTTTTAAAAATTTTTTCGGGCCATCAAAGGTGGGGTGGGGGCGTGTGACCTATACGCCGCCTGGATTCGCCACTGATGTTATATAACTAAATCGTATACCAACTTAAAATTTTATAAGAAATAAGAAAGCAGGGACACCCGCGAAATTGTTCCATAAACAATGTTAATTTTATGAGATACTTTTATTAAATTATTTATCTTACAGACCTTCAAAATAATTTCGATAACGATCATTCCAGCAGTCGCGACATGTCAGTGCGTACAGTCACTCCTGTATAAATAATAAGTAGTATTAATTTTTGTAAAAAAAAACGTATTTGAAGTTGTTTTGCCATGTCTGATTAGTTTATCTCGTTCGTGTAAGCCTTAATTATGAAATGTTAGTTTTTTTTTAATTCAAGAACGGTGCAATCTTGTTTGGAATTCTTGGTTGGTTTTAGCTCACCTGACCCCAAGGGAAAAGTGAGCTTTTTTCATCATTTGGCCCCCGTCGTCCGTCGTCTTCCGTTAATTTTTTATATAATCTTCTCCTCTGAAATTACTGGGCTACAATACATTTAACAAACCTTATCCACAATCTTATGTCGGTTTTAAAAGGCCTAACGAACTTATGTTTAACAGTTTTTCATCATCATTGGGGTACCTAGTTTAAAAAGATTTTGATGACCCCCGCTTGTCAACAAAGACATGGCCGACATGGCTTAAAAAAGAACATAGGGGGATGCAAGTTTTGTCTATTATTTGA